AAAAACACAGCAGGTAACACATTGAATTAAATATAAAATGTTGAAGTAGAAAGACTTGAATAGTATTTGCTTTTAAATGTACACCAATAATCGTACAACATATATATTTTTTGCAGTGTGCATACCAGCAGTCTGAGAGCACTATGGAAGTAAAATAATGACAGATGTATTGTGAATTTGTAAAGCGAAATAAAATGGACCAAAAATAGCCTGTTGAGTATTATAGATATATTTTTAAACAGAATTCTTATTATTGTAAAGTGTTACCTGTTGGTCTTTATAATTCTTTTGCACTTTAATCTGTGTTTAATCTTTTGCACTTTATACATTTTTTTGTGTATTGTTTTATTGTATTTAAATGTTCAGTTTCTATTTGTTATAAGAAGAAAGTTATTAAACCGGTTATACTTTATAATGACTACATTTTTTGCAACTAAATTTCAATACCGTATACTGTGATAAAAGCATTAGCAATTAATCGCAACATGAAAATTTGATACTGTCACATGCCTATTCATACGTTTCGTGTTGTAAATGATTCACAGTCCTGATTTTCAGTGGGTCAGAGATTCACATCCTCACAGCTCATCAAATCATTTATACTGTTTTTGACCCGTTTAAGTTTTTTTTCTCTCTCTAACACAACGTCTCTGTGTGTGCGTGTGTGTGTGTGTGTGTGTGTGTGTGAGAGAGTGTGTGTGTGTGTGTGTGAGAGAGAGTCTGTGTGTGTGTGTGTGTGTGTGTGTGTGTGTCTGTGTGTGTGAGAGAGTGTGTGTGTGTGTGTGTGAGAGAGAGTCTGTGTGTGTGTGTGTGTGTGTGTGTGTGTGTCTGTGTGTGTGAGAGAGTGTGTGTGTGTGTGTGTGAGAGAGAGTCTGTGTGTGTGTGTGTGTGTGTGTGTGTGTGTCTGTGTGTGTGAGAGAGTGTGTGTGTGTGTGTGTGAGAGAGAGTCTGTGTGTGTGTGTGTGTGTGTGTGTGTGTGTCTGTGTGTGTGAGAGAGTGTGTGTGTGTGTGTGTGAGAGAGAGTCTGTGTGTGTGTGTGTGTGTGTGTGTGTGTGTCTGTGTGTGTGAGAGAGTGTGTGTGTGTGTGTGTGAGAGAGAGTCTGTGTGTGTGTGTGTGTGTGTGTGTGTGTGTCTGTGTGTGTGAGAGAGTGTGTGTGTGTGTGTGTGAGAGAGAGTCTGTGTGTGTGTGTGTGTGTGTGTGTGTGTGTCTGTGTGTGTGAGAGAGTGTGTGTGTGTGTGTGTGAGTGTGTGTGTGTGTGTGAGAGAGAGAGAGTGTGTGTGTGTGAGAGTGTGCGTGCGTGTGTGTGTGTGTGTGCTGTAGATGGATTTGTGTTGACCTGCATTCTAACATTATAAAGATGTTCCTGTTCTGTAACATTCAAACTACACTGCAGATCTCAGTGTTTGGTTGGTTCGTCTGCAGACGTGTGTCTCTGTGCTCTTAGAGTTCAGATGTAGATGTTCTCGGGCTGCGTGTTACTCTGTACGTCTGTGCACACACACATGTCCTCTCTTCTGTTAGCGTGTTGTTGTACACACGTGTGCCCGGCTCAGTCTTTGTCCTGTATGTGGACGCTGGACTCATGCTGTGTGCGGTGAGGCGTACGCTGATGAAACGAGACGAGCAGCACGTGAGTGCGCAGGACACGCTCATCTTAACGTTTATACGGTGCGTGTCCGAACCCCGGCTCCTGATTGGCTGGTTCTTCTGATCTTCACTGTTTATGTAACAGTGGTGGGTCATGTGACTCCAGTGATGTCACTGCTTCAGCGTCTCCTCTGGCAGAGTTTGTGTGATTGAGCACTGAAGGAGCGTCAGTAAACACACACACACACAACCCTTCATCGTCGTGTGTGTGACGGGCTCAGTGTTGGATGTGCTCTGCGTGTAAGGGTTCGAGCTGGACGTGAGGGGTGTTTGAATGATTCCTCCATGAGAGAGACGGGGCTGCTGGAGCCGGAGAAGATGCCTCTGCACCTGCTGTTCTGGGAACTGGAGCACCGCAGGTAAAACACGCAGAGCATCTCTGACACGTGTGTGAGTGTGCGTGAGTGTGCGTGTGTGTGTGTGTGTGTGTATGTGAGTGTATGTGAGTGTGTGTGTGTGTGTGTGTGTGTGCGAGTGTGTGTGTGTGTGTGTGTGAGTGTGAGTGCGAGTGCGTGTGTGTGTGAGAATCTGAGTGACACTGATTGTGAAATATCTGATAAACACATCGTTGTGTGAGATGGACAGATCTGCTGTAGCGTCTCCACTGATCCTCTTTCAGATCTTTCCTGTGAAACGCTTCATCAGATGCCTGAGCAGAGCTGGGTAACTGATTACATGAAATCTGGTTTATGTAATCAGATTCCAAAAATTAAGTACTTGTAATTAGATTAAATTACATTGTCAAATACTCGTAATCAGACTGCAGTTACTTTGTTATTGATTACATGATTACATATTATTCACACAACAGCAATAAATCATTCATAATTCATAAATGATCCTTCTGCTTATATACAGTCAGAAAGTCTGTCAGTTTCACACAAACAGCAGTCAGTGGTCAGGAGGATATAATTACACAGAAAACACAGCATTTGAGCTCTGGATTGACAGAAATCATTTCAGTTTAAGAAGTGTTTTCTCAACGTCTCAACACTGCATCAACTTCTGATGAACACATTCATGTTTAATCACTCAGTGGGTTATTTAACCTTGTGTTACTTTGTCTTTGGAAGGCTTTTGTCTTTCAAACACATTCAAATGCTCAAATTCACGTTATTTCTTAATTACATGTAATGCAGGGATTCATAAACTTTTTTTGTCTTCTCTTTCACGTAATATATTTACTTGAACTACCCCTGAGATTTTAAGGTAATAAATTAATAATTAAGTAACACATTTGCATGCTCACGGTTCTGTGACGGTCATGCAACAAATTAAATATTTCATTTTTTTAGTAAGTGTTTTATTTTGCTATTTTAAAAATGTTTTTAATTTAACATTTTTATGATTTAATTATTAGCTTTTCATTAAACTCACAAACCGCCTGCAGTTCCTTCACAAACCACAGTTTTAATGCACTTCATGTTGTTATTAACAACAAATGTAATGTATTTTATTTTTCTCTGCATTTTTATATCAATGTGGTACAAGATTATCTCATTTAAATCAACATGATAAACGAGTTAGGTCAAAAGTAGTCTGATTATATTACCTGAAATGTGTAATGTAACAGATTGCGCTACTAGCTACAGTTTTTGTCACGTAATCAGTAACAGATTACACTGTTCAAGTACTCTAGTAGCTCTTGTGAGTTACTCTAGTGTCTGGATGAGTGTTTGTTTCTCTGAAGAAGGAACTGATGAATCTGAAAGGGGAAGTCATTGGATTCACCACCGCAGACAATAGATGTGACTCAATCATCTCGTCATGTCTGATGCTTTTGTCTGCTCATTAGTTTGTTCAAACCAGGTAATACTGATGCGTTAGTAGTGTTTTGCGTTCTCAGGGTAATTCACTGCTACTGTGAGGTTTGCTCAGAGCTGATGTGTTTTTAGAGAAGGTCTTGTTTCTGCTCCTCGTCTCTGTGTTCAGTGGAGTAGCGCTTATGTAAAGCATTAGTACGGCCTCATATATCTTTCAGTGCGTATGGAAAGAAAATATACATGTGACCCTGGAGCACAAAAGCAGTGTTAAGTCGCTGGGGTATATTTGTAGCAATAGCCAACAATACATTGTATGGGTCAAAATTATCCATTTTTCTTTTATGCCAAAAATCATTAGGACATTAAGTAAAGATCATGTTCCATGAAGATATTTTGTACATTTCCTACCGTAAATATATCAAAACTTAATCACTGATTAGTAATATGCATTGCTAAGAACTTCATTTGGACAACTTTAAAGATGATTTTCTCAATATTTAGATTTTTTTGCACCCTCAGATTCCAGATTTTCAAATATTGTCCTATCCTAACCAACCATACATCAATGGAAAGCTTATGTATTCAAAATAAGTGTCAAAAAAATGGACACTTAAGACTGGTTTTGTGGTCCAGGGTCTCACACACACACACACACACACACACACACATATATATATATATATAAGATTTGTAGCCTTACATCTGCTAAATGAATAAATGTAAAGGACCTAGAATCGAGTCTGTGATTCAGTTCTTTGACGACAGGTGGCGCAGTTTCACTGCTTACATAAACACATCGTTCGTTGCTTAATTATTTTTCTCTCTTTTATGATTTTTGTATATTCTGTGTGGCCTCTTTCAGCGTTTATAATACTAATATGTTTGACTTATTGTTGTTCTGTTGCATAATGTTTCCTGTGGACCGATTATCAGTTATTTTTGAAGTAGTGAATTTCATAACGCGTTCATACTGTTTGCGTGGGGGCGGGGCTTGGCATAGATTAGTCAAATACCCCGCGCTCGCAGCCAATGGCGCGCTGCCGTGCGCTTTTATTATGCTAATGACCCAGCGGCTGCGGATCTCCTTCGCCTTTGTGTCCAAACCACCGGCGCATCGCGGGATAAATCACGCACAGAGTCGAGAATGTCACATTCTTCACCCGTGTCGGTGATTCGGAGCGTCTGATGGGCGGAACAGAATGAATTCTCCGTGTTACCCGGTGGCGATGGATGTCAGTGTTTGCCAGCTCAGGAGTTTTTCCATCTCGTTCCTGTCGTCGGTTCTGGGCGCGGAGAGCTCGACAGCAGTCAGTCTAGAAAACAGGTGAATGTTACCTTTACCTTCAGCCGAGATGCAGCGAGCGCGTCATCGCTGCTGTCAGTGTAATTACGCGGATGTGATGTGATGTAATAACCGAGCGCTGCACCGGAAAACCCCTCACGTCCATCTGATGGATCCTTTCGGTTTCGTTTGACCGGATCTTCATCTGCAGAAGCGTCGCGTTATTCCGTTTCTCCCGCTGTGCGTTTATGCAGATGTTATGCGACATGATCCGTTGATGAAACGTGTTTCTCGTTTGTTCCCACAGTTCCTCCGGAGCCAGTGTTGTGGCCATAGACAACAAGATCGAGCAAGCCATGGTGAGTCTGATCTGCTCTTGGTGTTGATCATTATTCTGCTATTCAGCACACAAAGACTAATGCCAGGAAAGCCAATAAACCGGTATAATGTCATTAATAACGCAGTCATGGATATACAGCTGCTCGCTGTGTGAAATAACTGGGTTATTATCTCTGAGAGAGCCGCAGTGATTGGGAATGTGATTTATTTGAATGTGTTTGTGATGAGTGTGGATCCGGCTGTATTTGGAGCCTGTGCTTGTTGCTAGGCAAACTCTGCCACACGGATGCCCTGAATAACCCCGCAGCTCCACCCTCTGATGAAGAACATTCTGTTCCTCTGCGACCAGCAGCCTGAAGATCACACACACACTGATCCAGCCGTCTGTGAAGCTGCAGATGACTGTAGAAGCCCCTACTGCTCTCACGCTGGAGTTATTAAACCGGGAGGAAGGAATATAGATGTTTCTATCCGTGTTCTGCTCTAAAGTATTGAATCAGAAACTGGTTGTTTGAGTGCGAGTGGAAAAAATCCTTGTTCAATCACCACAACTGAAAACACGAGATGCTGACATACGCAAGTTAATATAAACTATATAAACACATAGTAAGAAACTAAATGACATAAACACAACAGAATTATGCAAACTAAACGGAAAATATAAAAACTGTAATAGTATATCAGTGATACTAGGGTGTGTTCACACTTGTCATGTTTGGTTCGATTAAACCGAACTCTGGCGCGGTTCGGATGAAATGTGAACGCAAAACGGACCAAATACTTCTAAACGAACCAAAAACAGGAAGTAATGACAAGATGCGACGCTGTGCGACATGATTTGACGACGCGGTGAATCCAAAACAAAAAGAGCAGAGGGCAAACGTGGAGCAACGAGGAGGTGAAGTGCCTTTTACGAGCTCCTCGTGAGTACACGCAGCAATGAGTGCGCTTAGTTCAGCAGACAGCATTACGTATATTTGACTTAAAGGGATAGTTCACCCAAAAATTAAAACTTGATGTGTATCTGCTTACCCCCAGGGCATCCAAGATGTAGGTGACTTTGTTTCTTCAGTAGAACACAAACGAAGATTTTGAACTCAATTCGTTGCAGTCTGTCAGTCATATAATGTAAGTGGATGGGAATCACGGCTTTGAGAGTCATAAAACATACACAAACAAAACCAAATTAAACCCTGTGGCTCGTGACGATACATTGATGTGTAAAGACACGAAACGATCGGTCTGTGCAAGAAACTGAACAGTATTTATATCGTTTTTTACCTCTGATGCGCCACAATGTCTGATCTGTCCTGAGCGCATCCTCAACAGCCGGCGCGTGAGGCATCTTCTTCTTGCTTTACGGCGGATCTATATGACTGACAGACTGCAACGGTTTGAGTTAAACATTTTTGTTTGTGTTCTACTGAAGAAACAAAGTCACCTACATCTTGGATGCCCTGGGGGTAAGCAGATAAACATCAAGTTTTAATTTGTGGGTGAACTATCCCTTTAAAGCGGCGCTGAGCAGAGCGATCGGTGAACAGGTGCTGTGATGGTCGAACACAGCTTCTGTTTGGGGGCGAGTTCCATCACGAAATATACGTCATCAACTCGACCAATCAGGTGTGAACGTATCACTATGTGTTCAGGTTTGGTATCTTTAGGCTCGCTGTTAAAAATGTCAGTGTGAACGCAAGCGGATCAGGAGCAAATGTATCGTTTACTTTTTTTGGTCCGGACCAAACGAACCAAGAGAACCGAACTACAAGTGTGAACAAAGTAACACTGACATGAGAATGTTTTTGCAAATGTTTGCAGGTTTTTGGGGCTTTTACTGCTGTAGAGACTGATTTTTTTTTTTTGATACACTGGTGGTCAAAAGTTTGGAATAATTCAGATTTTTTTTAATGTTTTCAACATCAGAATCAGAAATGTTTCTTGAGCAGCAAATCAGCATCTGTGACCCTGCAGCACAAAAGCAGTCTTAAGCGCAGGTCCAGACCGGATCTCCCACCGCAGGGGCCCCGCCGGAGGGCCCCGGACCCACCGCCTGACTGCCTCTCGAGATGATACTGTGAACAGACTCCACAGTCGGTCGTCTCAGACGCTGCTTATCAAACATCACCCGCTTCAGACAATCAGTACTGACCCTGACGGACACGCGTGACCTCCTGAGCTTCACGTGTGCATGCGTGTCAGTGGCGGGAATCATGCTGTGGTTGCCACATTCAACTTGTGTTTATACGGTGTTTCCAGTCGCTCTGCTGGTTTTGTTACTGGTTTTATCGGTTTGGCTTTTAGTTTTGTTCCTTTGCACTTTGTAGTCGACACGTGTGAATCAGACCAAATGAGCACCACCACGAGGACGAGCGTGACCTTTGACCCCTGTGCCCTTGACCTCCGTGTCGTGTGTAAAAATAACGGTGGAGTGTGCATCAGGTTTCAGGCTCACGATGAGAACGGACTTCCTGTGAGCGAGTTCTGCTCTGATTAAGTTATTTTGCCTTACAGTCCGTGGCTCTGGTCACCCGTCAGTGACCTTTGACCTGACAGTATGTGCATGTTTCCTTCAAAACAATGTGACGTCATGCAGTTGCACATCGACTTTAATAAATGGCAAGGAAATCAAACCTGGTGTCCTGCTGCGTTTCTTCACAGATGCTAGTCTAGTCGCTGTGGGTTAGTTAGTGGTGTTAACATGTTACACGCCTTACTCCGGTTGACGTGTTCTAGCACACGCCGAGACGCCCTTTAAACACCTTAAAATGCCCTCAAGGTGAGACACTGCAGGCACTGGTCAGTTTCAGTCTGTCTTCTTTCAGACTAGTGGAAGGAAAACATGCTAACTACACACTAAGTGTTTATTTTATCTATTTGCGTCTTTAGATTTCAATCTTTAAAGAGTGTTTTTCTCTTACAAACACCAAACCTTACAGTTTTATTCCTCTTTATATTCTGAAGGTTCGTTCGCACTGATTTATACAACGTTTTACTCCTGAAAACATGGTGAACGTGTGTTTGTTTTCCGTCTGTTGACAGTATTTTCTGATTTATGGAGTGGTAAAAAAATAAATTTAACTCTAATATGACAACAAAATCAAACTAGAATTATGAACCTGGCTTTACCCAATATTCAGATTTATGTTCTGGAAATATATGCAAATTAGCTCATGTTTATTTAGATGAGTGCCTCATTTGCATATTTAAACATACCATTTCAGAAGCTTGTGTCAGTGTGCTGTGATGATTTAACTGAAGTATGATGTCTTGGCGTTTACGGTCATTAGTCCAGCAGTATTTGATGA